ACATACGCTTCAGGTTACAGACTCCACTAAATCAGAAAATAGTACTTCAGGTTAAGAACTTTGCTTCAGGGTGAGAACAGAAATTGTGCTCCAGCAGTGCGGCGGCAGCTAAAGTGGTGCTTCAGGTTAAGAACAGTTTCAGGTTAAGTACGGACCTCCGGAACGAATTAAGTACTTAACCTGAGGTGCCACTGTACTGATGATTTCCATAGCACTGTCAATGTGCATGGTGCTCTGCAAAGTACAAGCTTACAGTAAGACAGCCATTGTGGCTTTTAGATGTTCTGGTTTACAACATTTGTCAGCCCCAGACACCATAGCCATAACTGGGGGGCACTGGTTTGGCAAGGTGGCTGTATAAAGAAGAGTATGTTTATATAAGCAAAAGCATTGGGAATGCTTCTCCCATCTCATCTCTGCTCTCCATATCCCTTTTAAAGGAATGAGAAGATGGAACGGCCTTGGGATTGTCTTCTCATGGAAGCCTGTGAACTTTGAAGCGCCCAGGTAATAAATAAATAAAAGAGTACTTGCTGGTCCAGTCTGTCTTGCCAGGGGTTTGAAGATTGTGTTGTGATTCTGTAGTATCCTTATCCATTCAACTTTGTTCTTCTGCTGAGTAAGTGGGCTGCATGTTAAACCAAGAGCTATGGCTTAGCAAATAGCCACAGGATCTCCAACAACATGCAAGAACAAAATGGAAGAGACTTTGGCTTCTCAGGCTTTGTTAGCTGCAGATGTCACTCGACTCTCCTACACAACTGCTTTCTGGGTGGCGTGAACATGCATCTTGTTTTTTTTAAAAAATAAAATAACTACTTTAACCTTTTATATGTTCTTTATTCAAATATTGGGTGTCTCATTATTCAGCAGAGATCATCTGGAACCATTCAGTTCCTAAAAGGGATGTCCTTGTTGTGGTGTGACTCAGCCAGGTTAGCAGCCAATCCTTCAAGGTATTGTATACTTTTTGCTTCTGATCGTTTGTTGATTTTTATATATTTATAAAATGTAAAGAAGGCCTGAGGTGAATTATTGCAGCTGCCTGTAGCCTCCCTATCCCTTTCCCATCAGATCTGAATACCGATCTTATGGTCAAAAAGGAGGGAAATTAAAATTTAAGTTGGCCCTAGTATCTTTGCTGGGACAAATCCTGCACTGAACTGGGCTGGCTTAAAACAATTTGTTTTGGAGTCCTCAGAATCTTTCAACTGTGCTGGTCCCACAGAAGGAGACCCAGCAGCTGCCAGTTGTCTTTAATTTATTTCCTATTGTCCTACTTCAGTGGGTGGTGCACTTTATCTTCAGAGCACTCCTGTGGAGTAGGCTAGTCTGAGGGCTAGTGCTTCACGTTTTGAGCTTGAGAGCTTTGTTTAGACCAGGCATGTCCAACTCCCAAGAGACTGTGATCTACTCCTAGTATAAAAAACTGGCAGTGATCTACCCAAGGTGGCAACTGCCCAGAGTTGTTGAGCTTTTTTGGGGGGGGCAGAGTCATTGAACTTTTTTTGGGTGGAGAACAGAGTTGTTGGGGGTGGGGAGTAGAGCAGCTGCTTTATTGTGATAGCTTTCTGTCATCCTGTGCTCTACCTGGGCCATCGCAGCAGTCTACCAGTTGGACATCCCTGGTTTAGACAAGTGAGCAGTGCATGCCTTTCATAAATCATTTAATGCAAATGTATGTCGTCCTAGGACTCCAGGTTGGACTACAATTCCCATCATCATTGGCTGTGCTGGCTGGGGCTGATGGGAAGTGTAGTCCCACTTAAGAGTAAGCCCCCTTGAACCTAATGGGACTTGGTTCTGATCACACACCATGATTCGGGATTGCACTGCAAGTTTTCCAGATATATGGCAGGAGTGATGGGAGTGTTGTTACTACTACTACTACTGCCATTTTTATTATAGGACTGGAGATGCAGTGTGCTGAGCTTCCATTCTCCTCCTGAAGAGCATTCCCATGTGGAACAGGCAGATGCAAAGGCACCTCCAGCAATGTAAGTGCCTATTAACACAACTGTGGGAAAGGAGCTTGGTCATGTGTTAACAACAGTTTGTTGATGGATCTGTTTTAGGCAGGGGTCAGCAAACTTTTTCAGCAGGGGGCCGCTCCACTGTCCCTCAAACCTTTTGGTGGGCTGGACTATATTTAGAAGAAGAAAAAGAACAACAAATTCCTATGCCCCAGAAATAACCCAGAGATGCATTTTAAATAAAAGGACACATTCTACTCATGTAAAAACACACTGATTTACGGGACATATTTAGAAGGCGATTGGGCCGGATCTGGCCCCCAGGCCTTAGGTTGCCTACCCCTGGTTTTAGGCAATGTGTGGTCGACAGCCACCTTGTAACACCTTGGGAAGCACGTGGTTAGTCACAAGTGTGGAGTGCAGCAGCAGCACCTCCTCTGCCTGGTCTGTGATGACTCATTTTTCTAATGGTGACGGCTGGATGAATCCTGCGGATATGGGGCTGAGACCAAGCAGATAACATTGGCAGGGTTCTTTTCCAAAGGGCAAAGTCCTTTGGTCTGTTTACTTCCTAGCTGGCATATTGGGAGTGGCGCTCCCAATTCCTTTGTACCTGTTAAGTTTAGTTATTGGTTGGCTTTTATTATTGGTGAAAGAATTGGCAGTTTTTTAGTTTTTAAATTAACGGAGGCTTTCCTTGTAATACGGCAACAGTAGCAGAGATGGGATGCCATCCTCCCAGCTATCCAGTAGCCACCGTGAACCCACATTCAACCTCGATTTGCAAATTATTATCGCCTAGTTTGGACTGTAGAACTGATGATGTGCTTGTTTCCACTTAGAACTTCCTAAGTGTTCTGTGATGTGGATTCTCATCTTTATAGAGGTGTAAATAATAGCAAACTTTTTTAAAAAAGACTCCACAAATTAATAAACTTTCCCTTCTTTTAGGTCTTTGAAGAGCGCTGAAGAAGTAGTGTCGTAAGCAGAGAAGTTTCTTGAGATTCTCCGTAATTGAAGTGCTTGTTTTTCTGTAATTGTGGAATTAAAGGAATTGTGTTTCATACAATAAGAAAAGTGTTTGTTGTTGTTTTTTGCCACCTCCTTTGCAAAGTTTAAGCTGGTTTATTCCCAGTAACCATAGTTAAGGTTTACCATACTTCTGGCTGGGTTTGTGTGACATGGGAAGCTATGGTTAATCAAAAACACAAGCAAAAGTTTCTTGACTGTTAAAGCTCAAGGGGGAGGCTAGATGTAACTTTCTCATGGTGTGTGAGATTTGTGTAATGGGCCTTGTACTTTGGTTTTAACAAGGTCCTCATCTGCAGTATACACTTTGATACGGTCATGGCTCCCCCTAAGAATCCCAGGAGCTGTACTTTGTTAAACTCTCCCCTTGCAGAGCTTGCAATCCTTGGAGATCCCTGGGAAAGGAGGATTGACTTTGAAATCACTCTGGGAACTGCAGCTCTGTGTGGGGAATAGAGGCCCCCTGACAACACTAAGCACCCTTAAGAGTATATCACCTGTGGGACGAACAGCATCCTTACAGTGGAGATGCCCTACGTTCTTCCAAAGGTAGCTCAATCCTATCCAGCAATTGCACACAAAGCTGCGCTTTGGAACAGATGATACCCTACTTCTCAAATAAGACTTTTAAAAACCTCAGTTAACGGGCAGAGTAAAACGAGAGCGTTTTTCTCTACGCCTTCTGACCCTGAAGCGTCTCAACATGCGGAGTTGGGGAACGAGGAGTTTTCTAATCTCCGTTGCTGAGTCTGCACATGCCTTGGAGTTAACAAATATGTTGATAGCTACGAGTTTCTTTGCACGCATAACTGACTTTTCTGGAAATCTGCCCTTTTTATAAAAAAAAACCCCCAAAGAAATGCAAGGACTGTGAGGCACTAGAATGGTAAATTTGTCCACTCTGATAGGGTTGATGCACCGTATCATAAATACTCAAAAGTTTAAAGTCAACATGGGGTGGGAATTGTGTGACAAATATCTTGACTGTTGGGTCACCTATCAGTGGCATGAAGGTCCTGGAGAAAAGCGTTGCAAGACTATGATTGGGGGTGTAGATACGCTACAGGGATCTGTTTGGGTTGGGTTTTGCCTTTTCCATGGAGAAATACAGAAGCTAGGGAACTAAAAAATGAAAGGCAGCTATGGTGGGGGTGGAGGAATCCCACATTTCATTCACCTTTGGTCCTCCAGATGCTGCTGAACTATAGCTCCCATCATTCCTTGCCATGCTTCTCGGGCCTGATGGGAGTTAAAGAGTTCTACAACCTTTGGAGACCTGATGGTTCTCCATACCTGTCAGGAAGGCTAGGATAAAAACAAGCAAATATAAGGAGGCTTGCTGTATCAAGCCAATAGCCCACCTAAACCAACATCCTTTTCTCACAGAGGCCACTATTGAAATAGATTTTGAGAGGCAGGGCTTCCTCTCGCTGGAAAATTCTGCTGGTAAGATTCTTCCATTTGCAACATTACTGTTTCCTGAACACAATTGCAACCCCAACAATCACAATAGTTTTATTATGCATTAATGTTTGGTTAAGCTTACTGACAAATCTGGATAGAAAGGCAGGGGGGATATATGTAAGTGGAAATTGCTCTCAGCAGATGAAATCAACCAGAGGCCCCTGTAGTCATACCCTTCTGTAGTGGAAATGCAGAAGGCTAGTTGGTTTTATAAATTGCAGCTCTGTATAAGTGAATTCGGACGCGGGTGGCGCTGTGGGTAAAAGCCTCAGCGCCTAGGGCTTGCCGATCGAAAGGTTGGCGGTTCAAATCCCCGTGGCGGGGTGCGCTCCTGTTGCTCGGTCCCAGCGCCTGCCAACCTAGCAGTTCGAAAGCACCCCCGGGTGCAAGTAGATAAATAGGGACCGCTTAGAAGCGGGAAGGTAAACGGTGTTTCCGTGTGCGGCTCTGGCTCGCCAGAGCAGCGATGTCACGCTGGCCACGTGACCCGGAAGTGTCTCCAGACAGCGCTGGCCCCTGGCCTCTTGAGTGAGATGGGCGCACAACCCTAGAGTCTGTCAAGACTGGCCCATACGGGCAGGGGTACATTTACCTTTACCTTTATAAGTGAATTACTGTTGCTGTTGATCTGAAATGTATAGTCTGACTCTCAAAATGATAACATGAGCTTGGAAACAGTTAATATCTGGCTCCTGCTTAAAGAACTTGCCATAAGCATTGCATAATAGTGAGAAAGGAAAATTCAAGTGCAGAGAAGGTGATTCAATAAGGACTGGTGGCCGTGGGGAGGGGGATAACTAAGATCTACGCAACCAAAATTCATTCCCAGACCTTTATAATATATCTTTGTCCTGCCTTGTTAATGCCCATGCACCACCACTCAGGGTGGCTAACAACAATTTAAAATTGTAATGCAACAAATGCAATAATAAAAGTGCACAAAATACATACTAAAAAAAACAATTGCAGAGCTAGAAACGGCCTTCACAGATAAATGCAGTTTTGTTCCGCCATTCTTAAAACAGGGATCTGATTCAGCAGTTTATATTGCAGAGGGCTGATATTATTATGACTGGAGTTCCTTTTTCTCTTGAGAAGCAGAGAAATTGCTTTGATAGGCTATTCCATCGCCTGCCCCCAACATATATACACATACATACATTTTGCTCCTTGCATTTGACAGAGATTTGATACAGAAGCTTGCTTGTTTTTGTGGGAGAGAGGCAATGGTATCTAAGGGAATGTTGTGGGTGGGGCAGAAGGAGGTGTGGAAAGAGGGTCTTGTTCTCAAACCAGACAGATGTTGGCTTCTCTTTGTTCTGAGGGCAGTGGGTGGGAGATGGCTAATCCTATCAGGTTTGAGTCCTCCTAATCAAACTGGAGTTCTGCTGCAGTCAGGATTGTTGGGACAAGTTCCTTGGAGGTCCCAGTCTCTCTCTCTCTCTCTCCTGAGCACTGCCCTGGATGAAGGCTTCTGTTCCGCTGCTCCTCTGAGCCTCCTTCCACCATGGAAGCAGCTCCTGAGATGGAATTAGCGCAAACGCCTCCGGCCCGTAACCTAAATGGCAACTGGCACTACCAATTCCGCATCCTTCTGCTGGGCGACTCCATGGTGGGCAAAACGTCTCTGCTCAGATGCTACACGGAGGGGTGCTTCGTTCCATCCCCGTGCCCCACGGTGGGCGTGGAGTTCTACAGCAAGATGATGGAGCTGCCTCCAGGCATCAAGGTGAAGCTACAACTTTGGGACACGGCTGGCCAAGAGAGGTTCAGGTGAGGCGGGGAAGTCCTTGTAGAACCAAAGGATGAGTGGGGGAAGATGCACATGCTTCTTACTGGTCCAAAACCTTTCCCTTTTCTAAATCCCTTTCCCTACTGCTCTGGAAATAAGGTCTGGAAGCCAATCACATTAGCCTGTGCCGCGTTACTGCTCAGTTAGCAACAATCCATTCTGGTGTATAGACCTTTCGTGTCCATATCATTCCTTGCTCCCTGCATTTAATTTCAGCCAGGTTGGCGATTTTGCTGGAATACCAGCCAGTGGTGCCATGAAGGAAGGACTTGGAGGCAGGTATTCAGGGTCCCATGAGCGTGGTGGGTCTGGGGATAGCACCGGGTTGGCTTACTACATTTTGAAGTAACCTAAGTGTATCACCCTGTCTGTAAAGGATGGGTAGGAGGAGCTTTCAAGGCCACTATGTCCAGAGTCTAAAATGTCCTAGCTGCACCACATACCACCTGTCTTCATTCCCCACATATTCATCCCCGCTTATTATTCCCCCTACTGGATTTCTAATTTTTTTATTAAAAAAAATTAGTGTTATCCTTGGCAATTAAGTTGAGATTTTAATAAATTAAATAGAAATGGAATAGGGAGGGGGAATAAGCATTTAGCACATTCCTCCTATAGAGTTGCCATATGTCCTCTTTTGTTCCAGGACACACTCACTTTTTCATAGGTAAAATGAGAGTCGTCATAGCGATCCATAGTTAAAGGTAGAAGTTGGCAAATGTGTCCTCTTTTTTTTTTTTGCTCTTCAAAATATCGCAGCCCTATCTTCACACTAACCCTGTAAGGCGCATTAGGCCAGGAGAAAAAGAATGACAACCCTGGAACGAGCTAGGGAACATATTAGTTCCAATCTGTCTGTAGATCTTAGGAACTGGTTGGCATCAGGAAACACCCTACACTACAGGAACAAGGAAGGGATTAACTGGGGACCTGCATCCCAGGGGGAGAAGGCAGGGGGCCTGGGCAGAAGGTTCAGCTCAGGCTTCATTTATTCATCAATACCAGGGGAGGGAAACCTGTGAACTGCTAGATGTTGGGCTCCAACTCTCATCAGCCCCAGGCAGTAGCAAGGGTTGATGGGAGTTGCTGGCCAGCAACATCTGGAGAACCAAACTTTTCCCCACCCCCAAGTAAGCCTGGTGTTCCTAAGCAAGAAAGTAGTGGATAATTGAGCTCATGTGGTACTGAAAAAAGTTCCAGCAGCAAAGGCACAGCTCCTCAAAGCTGCACAAAGGAATCTTGATATAATTACTTAGAATGTGTACAGTGCTTTGCTGATGGTTAGTGAGTTGTCATCCCGTGATCATCGATTCAGGTGACACAGGGTTTTACAGAGCAATCTGAGACAATTTCTCCAAGGAGCTCACAGTGGTGCATGTGGTTCACCCCCTCCTCAGTTAATGCCTACAGCAATCCCTACAGGTAGGTTAGGATGAGAGGCAATGACCGGCCCCTGGTCATGCAGTGAGCTTCCTGCTCAAGTGGGGATTTGAACCCAGCTCTCCCGGGTCCTAAACCAGCACATTAACCCAGAGCCTTCCAAATGTTTCATGTTGGTGACACACTTTTTAGACATGCATTATTTTGCGACACAGTTTTTACTAGCAAACCAAAGGTACCCCTTTCCAGCCCTGGGAGGAGCACAGGGAGCGTTTGCACAACACACCAACACACTGCAGCCGACACACTAACATGTCACGACACACAGTTTGGAAAGCTCTGCACTAACCACTACGCCACCCTGATCTCACCAGCTCGCTTTAAGCTGTCTCTGGGTTTGGTCAGAAACTAGATGTTTGTGCATATCTTTGAGAATCATGAGTATTGACGAATCATTTTGGGCTGAATAATGAACTTTGCTTTCTGTACTCACTCTAGCAATCTTGGTTAGATTTCTGTTGGCACTCTGCACAAAAGTTGCCTGTGTTTTTCACAGAATCGGTGAAAAAAACAGCTGAAGGGAGGGGTAGTGCATAGCTGAGTGTTGTGCTTTTGGGTGGGGTGGGGGGATACTTCAAGGTTGTCTGTTGTTAATGTTCTTTTGCAGAGTTGAGAAATTGATCCCATTCAGTGAATAGAAGCCTGAGGGCATTGATCTCAAGTAATCCCAGAGGCCATCATATCTCTTTGGAATGTCTGACCTTGCTTACTGATCCACTCAGTTATTGACACAACCTTACCAACTCCCTTTTTCTTGCTAATTTTGCTGCAAACAATGGCACTCCCCTATCAGCTCCTCTTCAGAGATAAGATTTGTATGTAGAATCTCTGCTTGTTTATGTGGTTGTAAATCGTATAGGAGTCTCCTCACTTGCTTACCTTGCCCCTAGCCATGAGCTGGGCTGGGAGATAAAGGCATGGCGGGAAGGTAAGGAAGGAAAGGAGATGTTTGAGGAAATTAGAAACTGAAATAAAATGTCAATATTTATCAATAAACAAATTGGGGAAAAGAAAGGAAGGAATAAGAGAGGAAATTGTTACAGTATGAAGAAGTGAATGTAAAAGGGCCAGAGAGAAGGGATGGAAGAAAGTGGCAGGGTTTTTTTCTTTTTGAGCTGAGTGTGGAAGGAGAAAGGGAAATGAAATGATAAGAGATGGGTAAAAATATTTTGAGAAGCATGTGGCAGTAGGAAGGAAAAAATATAAAAGAAAAAACCTTCTCCACTTCAAGCCTCTCTAATCAAATTCTGCCTAAAATAGAGAGGTTGAGTTGTTTCATATCACATGTCTGTGCTTAGCTTGAGGAAAGCTGAACCATGGAGCTCCTTGCTGCAAGGAAAATGCTGTGGCTAAGAATTTAGCAATGTCCCAAAGGTGGTTTAGATATCATAGGGAAATTATGTGAGTACAGTATATGTTATTTATTTTACTCAGTACATTTATATCAGGCCTTTTCTCCAAGTTGCTCAAGGCAGAATTCTTCCTCCCACACTAAGACTACATTGTACTATAAAATTGACATTGCTCAGCATCAAGAAATTTCTGAAGACTTTGTGGATATGTTTTGCTAATGTAGTTTAGCAATATCTGTAAAGGCAAATGGGAGTTCTGTGCTTACATCTCAGAAGATACTTTGCCACTATCATTGCTCCAGAACAAAGTCCTGGACATGGTTATGAAGAGTTGGCATTTGGTAACTAGACAAGTGACTTATAGAAAGTCTCCATGATATATTGGAAGAAGGTTAAATTAATTATTTTAATTTGCTGCTTCTGTTCTTAGGTGCATCACCAGATCCTTCTACCGGAACGCAGTGGGTGTACTCTTGGTCTTCGATATGACCAACCGGAGGTCCTTTGAGAGCATCTTTGATTGGTACCATGAAGTGACCAGTGTTATGGAGAAGGTCGTCTTCCTCTTGGTTGGCCACAAAAGTGACCTTCAGTCAATGAACAGAGTCACAGTCGAAGAAGCAGAGGGACTGGCCATTTCTTTGGGCACACAATTTATTGAGACGTCTGCCAAGGACAACCTCAATATAGATTTGGCTTTTGCGACCATCACCAATGCTATCTATGACGCTCTGAGAAACAAGGAGATTGACCTGCAGGAAGGGTGGGATGGTGTGAAGGTGATCCATAAGAAGAGAACTAGCGGTCTTCAGAGAAGGAAGAAGGCCCCGCAAGAAAAATGCAACTGCTAACCAAAGTCAAGGAGTGAGATGTGGTTGGAAGGGGGCAGTGGGCGGGCTCTAAAGAGGAGAAAAGAGTGGAACTCTTTCATAGCCAAGGTTCTGAGATGAAAGCTGCAGAGGACCTCAATGACTGGACCCTCAAAGTGACATTCACTCATCAGCATTCAAGACTGTTGCGGGGCGCATACTGATGATGGGCAGGGCTGGAGTCATCAGTGAGCTGATAATGCTAAGGTTGCAAGTTCGATCCCTGTATGGGACAGCTGCATATTCCTGCATTGCAGGGGGTTAGACTAGATCAGTGTTTCCCAACCTTGGGCCTCCAGCTGTTTTTGGACTACAACTCCCATCATCCCTAGCTAGCAAGACCAGTGGTCAGGGATGATGGGAATTGTAGTTCAAAAACAGCTGGAGGCCCAAGGTTGGGAAACACTGGACTAGATGATCCTGAGGGTCCCTTTCCAACTCTACAATTCTGTGATTCTAAGGCCAGAGCCCAAGTGATGAACCCCCTCCCCGCCTTCATTTTCCCCTCTTGCCACCTACTGGAAATGAGGCTGCATTTGGCCCTGTGGCCACTGGCCGCTCACCTCTGCTGTATGGAAACCAGAGATACCCAAACAGACGTGGGAGTCAAGGATGGTTTGGATAGCACCAGAGCCAATAGGAGAGAATCTGGAAAACAGTTGTTTGCAGCTGAAAAGCTTGCTACACTGACCTTTCAATGCAAGTGGTCTTCTAAAATGCATCTGAATTGCTTTGAAATGCTCAGATTATGAGAGCGTATTCTTCAGTTGTTCTGCAGAAAAGTTACGCATAATTTGCTGTGTAAAGAGCTGGGAATTTGTAAGGGGAATATCTGTTAATAGTTGGGGTGGGAAAATGATAATGGGTGCAAGGATATTCAGAGTTCAGTCATTTAGATAGAGTCAACATTCCACTATATTTGAGAACACAAAAAAGAAAGAAAGAAAGAAAGAAAGAAAGAAAGAAAGAAAGAAAGAAAGAAAGAAAGATATTTTCATCTTGAGTAGATGACTTGGGGTGCTGGGAATGCTAGAGCCATTTTAATGTGAAACAAGGGTGCTGATTTCAAACAAAAAAATAAAGTCATACTGCTGGTTTATGTTTAGTTTCTCTATATGCCACTTTTCTATACTAAGTTTAATGTAAACTAAAGCTATCATTTAATTCTTAAAATACTGTAATACAACTCATAGGGTTGTATCCGATACTGGCCCTGCTCAAAGTAGAAATTTATTGAAATTAATGTTCCTGTTAGGCTTAGGCTCATAATGAGCCATACGCACCCTACCGAGGTGCATATTCAAGGGATTATTTAGGCAAAAGATCTGAAAACCATGGTAAAAAGAGTGACATATTAATGGTTGAAGTCTCATGAGACTTAAAAGGTAAAGGTAATGGACCCCTGACCGTTAGGTCCAGTTGCGGACGACTCTGGGGTTGTGGCGCTCATCTCGCTTTATTGGCTGATGGAGCCAGCATACAGCTTCCGGGTCATGTGGCCAGCATGACTAAGCCACTGCTGGCGAACCAGAGCAGTGCACGGAAACGCCGGTTACTTTCCCAGTGGAGTGGTACCTATTTATCTACTTGCACTTTGATGTGCTTTCGAACTGCTAGATTGGCAGGAGCTGGGACCAAACAACGGGAGCTTACCTCGTCGCGGGGATTCGAACCGCCAACCTCATGAGACATATAGGATAAACTCATATTTTAGTTTTATTTATTTATTTTATGAATCACATCACCAGGAACCAAGGCAGCTATAGTGCCATCTGCTGGGGGAATCCTTCCACACCTCATAGATTCATGAGGCAATTCAAACAAGCATATTCATCCCCTAACTTGTGTCCTCACCCCACTCAGGACAACGAGTGTTTAGATTTCTGTGAACAGCAGGTGGCAGAGGATGATGATGATGATAACAATAACAAAAATATACTTATACCCCACCCATCTGACTGGGTTTCCCCAGCCACTCCTTAGACATTGCGTACAAAGTAAGATCTGTTCAAAGCTTGTACGAGTCATTGCGGAGTTTTTCCTTCTTGCTCTTAAGTTGATTTCCCCATCAGCAGGAGTGCCAAATTTGAAGCATCTGTTTCCCTCAGCTTCTACCCAGAGAGGGTTCTGTCTGTCCATCTTGCAGCAATGATCGGTTGTGCAGTTAGTTCTTTAGAAGCTGCAGGAGGAAGTTCCAGTTCAAAGATAAGAAGAGCAGCAAGGGCATGGAGTTGGGTCAAATTTGTCATGAGGCAATTCTTATTTATTTAAACGGCAAGCTTCTTAGCGGCTTCTTGCTGTTGCCCTTGAAAACACCTCTGAATATAAATATAGCAAAGTCATCCTTGATGGGAAAACCCTTTCTGAATCCTCATGAATTCATGAGGCAATTCTTATTTATTTATCAAACAGGTTCTTCTGCTGTTGCCATTTGAAAAACTCTGCTCTGCCCCCCTCGGGGCTTTGGAGACAGGAGACATGAGAGAAAGAGGTGACTCCTGAAACAGAAACATTCTGCTCCTTCTCTTCCAGTGGCTTCAAAAGAGAGACTGTGGTCTCTGCCCCAACAGTTCACTGCCCCTGCTTGTTTCTGAGGGAAAAGGTGTCTAAAGAGAGAGGCAGTGTGGAGTAGGGGTTAGAGTGCTGACCTAGGAGCTGGGAGACTAGAGTTCAAATCCCTGCTGAGCCATGAAGCCCACTGAGTGGATTTGGGCCTGTCACTGTCTCTCCGCCTAACCTACCTCACAGGGTTGTTGTGAGGATAAAATGGAGAGCATACCATTTTAGGGACGCGGGTGGCGCTGTGGGTTAAACCACAGAGCCTAGGACTTGCCTATCAGAAGGTCAGCGGTTTGAATCCCCGCGACGGGGTGAGCTCCCGTTGCTCGGTCCCTGCTCCTGCCAACCTAGCAGTTCAAAAGCACGTCAAAGTGCAAGTATATAAATAGGTACCACTCCACTGGGACGGTAAAATGGCATTTCCGTGCACTGCTCTGGTTCGCCAGAAGTGGCTTAGTCCTGCTGGCCACATGACCCGGAAGCTGTACGCTGGCTCCCTTGGCCAATAAAGCGAGATGAGCGCCACAACCCCAGAGTCGGTCACGACTGGACCTAATGGTCAGGGGTCCCTTTACCTTTATACCATCTTGAGCTCTTTGGGGAAAAGGTAAATGTAATAATAGACATAATAACTAAAGTTTTCCACAGAATAAGTTGTGGAACTCCTTTAATTCCTGCTCAGACAGCTCTCAGCCCTTTTTGTTTTTGATGGGGATGGTGTCTGATACTGTATAGTTAACCTCCTGACTGACAAGGTTTTGCGGGGAATCTCCTTACAATACCCATGACTTCATTCTAACACTTTTGGACATATGAGTCAGACTCCTCACAGTTTCTGCCTAGTCTGCAGCGTTTACATACTGGCCAGCGCAAAATGTTTGATAGCCCCGCTCCTTTATCTTAATGCTTGAGGCTTCAGGGCGGGATGACAAGGAGGAAGGAGATTCATGTCACCTGTGCTTTAAACTAATTCCTGGGTGGTTACTTCTGTTTCCAAATCCCTGATCTGCACTGACTTCATCCAGCAATGAGGGCAGGGAGAAAGCTTCCACACAACCAGGGCAGTTTGGATAAAATATACCCCCCCCACTTCACTCCACTTGCTATTTTGCACCTCAGCGACAGAATTTGTGCTGCACCAAAATGGTCACCATACGAGGCTGAACCTTTCCTGTTGTAGAACTTCTACAGGAGAGTCAGCCTGATGACAGCCCAAAAGAAGAAACACCCATGCCAGGAATGTCTCCCTTGACACGTCTCCCCTGGAAACCAGAGCTGTCTTTTCCTACTTTGCTGGAGAACTGGCCTCACAGAAAGAAACCTTGGAATATGCAGTACCTCTAAGGGCCAGAGCTGATGGGAAAGAGGGAGGGTAAGAAATCTCCTGTAGATGGTGGCTAGTTAAAGCCCAATCTCTATGTGCAGAGATGGTCTTCCTGCCCTTACCTGGGATGTGCTTCCTGCAGACCAGATGGCTGCTGTTGGTCCTGCATGAGGATATTGGCCATGACCTGATGTACCTAGCACAGAGGTCCTGATGCTGCGGACCACTCGTCACCAGTGGTCCACGAGCATCATTAAGGTGGTCTGCAATACGTCTGCGGATTTGTGATTGAAGGCAGGAGGCGGCTTTAAATATTCATATTGATTTTTAGCTGCATTTTTACTGCTTCTATCCCCCCCCCTCCTTATATTGCATTTTTTCCCTGCACAGTATTACAATTTGAATTCTAGGGAAAGGAGCTGGAAACAAAGCTGCCAATATCTTAACACCATTATACAGTGGCATAGCGTGGTGGGGAGGGGGCCCCAGGGGCGTAAAATGGTTAGGGGAGCAAAATTTCAACATCTGTTGCTGCCTCAGTACGGCTGCACTCTTCTGTCTCTGGGCTCTGTTGAAAATGGCTTCCCCACGTGAACCGGAAAGTGACCTCTCCAGAAAACGGAACTCATCTTTCCTTATCTGTGTGGCTATGATCTCCTGGTAATGCAGACAGCATTAGGAAGTTGGACGTGCATGTGTGCTCCATCCATTTCCCTCCCATCCACTCACCCTTCCATGTGGCCCCGGGCACTGGCAACCCACGCTACGCCACTGCCGTTATACAGATCTATGGCGCAACTGCACTTTGGAGCACTGAGTACAGTTCTAGCTGCCTCTCCTCAAAAAGAATATTGTGGTTGGGAAAGGGTCAGAAAAGGGCAGCCAACATGATCCAGCGATCGTGTGAGAAAAGGTTGCAACATTTGGGGCTTTTAGAATGTAGATAAAAGGTAGGTTGAGATAGGATAAAGTAAAGGTACCCCTGCCCGTACGGGCCAGTCGTGACCGACTCTAGGGTTGCGCGCTCATCTCGCTCAAGAGGCCGGGAGCCATTGCCGTCCGAAGACACTTCCGGGTCACGTGGCCAGCGTGACGAAGCTGCAGCTGGCGAGCCAGCACCAGTGCCGCACACGGAAACGCCGTTTACCTTCCCACTATAAAGCGGTACCTATTTATCTACTTGCACTTAGGGGTGCTTTCGAACTGCTAGGTGGGCAGGAGCTGGGACCGCCGACCTTACGATCAGCAAGTCCTAGGCACTGAGGTTTTACCCACAGCGCCACCCCGTCCCTGAGATAGGATAGAAGTGTATGAAATTACACATGGCATGGAGAAAGGGACTAGAGAAAAGTTTTTCTCCCTCTCTCTTAACACTT